CTCTATGGGTGCTGTAAGCACATGGTGCACATATATACATACAGGCAAAACACTCGTACAAATAAAATAATAAATAAATTTGTAAGTTCAGTGCAATGGTTCTCAAACTTAGTTACATCTCACGTTACCTGAAATGTTTTTAAAACCCTTGAAGCCCAGGTTGGCACATAGATTAATTAAACAGGCTTTCTAGAGAGGGGGGGGCAGGCCTCTTTAGTTATTAAAACCCTTAGTGTTACAAATACAATATAAAGGAATATCTGCCTTGATTGGCATGTAAGCAAATAGATGCAAAGGAAAAACAGCAGAGGTTTTTAATTTTTATTTTATGTGTATGAGCTCTTCAAGCATGCAATGCCTGCAGAGACCAGAGGGTGGCGTCGGATCCCCTGTAACAATTTATGGATGGTTGTTTGCTGCCATGTGGGTACTGGGAATCAAACCTGGATGCTGTTCAAGAGCGGCCAGTCTTCTTAACCCTGAGCCATCTCTCCAGCCTTTTTTTTTTTTTTTTTTTGCGGTCTTTTTAAGACAGGGTCTCCCTGTAGCCCCAGCTGTCCTGGAACTCCCTATGTAGACCAGGCTGGCTTTGAACTCACAGAGATCTGCCCGCCTCTGCTGGGATTAAAGGTGTGCACCACCATGCCCAGCCCTCCAGCCTTGTTTTTAAATATTGTTATTATTATATTTGTGTATGTGCGCGCATGTGCGTGCAGGCGGGAGTGCCACAGCACACATGTGGAGGTGAGAGGACAAGTTTGTGGAGTTACTTCTCTCCTTCTACCTTTATGTGGGTTCTGGGGCTTGATCTCAGGTCACCAAGTTTGCATAGCAAACACCTTTATCTGTGGGGCCAGCTCACAGTCCATAAAACTCAAAGTTGTTTTTTGTTTTTGGGTTTTTTTTCTTGTCTTTTTGAGACAGGGTCTCCCTGTATCTGCAGCTGGCCTGGAGCTCTCTATGTAGACCAGGCTGTCCTTGAACTCACAGAGATCCGCCTGCCTCTGCCTCCCAAGTGCTGTGATTAAAGGCATGTGCTACCATGTCTGGCTTCAAAGTTTTTGATATAAAGAAAAAAAAATATATATATATGTATAGTGAATCTGGAGTCCAGAGACATGAGTATAGGATGTGACAGAACAACTTTTCATCAGTATAAGAACATCATTTAACTCCTTTATGCCAGAGTAGACAAGGAGTAAAACTGAAATCCATCTATGTACTGCACAGGGTGACTATAAAAAAATATTTTGAGGCCAGGCATGGTGGCACACGCCTTTAATCCCAGCATTTGGGAGGCAGAGGCAGGTGGAGTTTCAAGGTCAGCCTGGTCTACACAGAGTTCCAGACCTGCTGGGGCTACAGGGAGTCCCTGTCCCCAAAAGAAATCCCCAAAATTTTTTTTGAAAAAAAAAATAACATTGTAAGTTTATGTAGTTTGAGACAATAATGTTATTTTGTATGCTAATTTAAAAATATATTTTAAATAATTTCAGATATATAAAATAGTTGCAAATATCACAGAGTACTTGTATTTCTTTTACTATATTTCTTCCTCAAGTAAATGATCAAAACAGAAGTCTTGCTGGGTGTGGTGGCCCATGCCTTTAATCCCAGCACTTCGGAGGCAGAAGCAGGCAGATCTCTGTGAGTTCAAGGCCAGGCTGGTCTACATAGAGTTCCAGGCCAATTGGGTCTACAGAGAGACCCTGTCTCAAAAAGAGCAAAACAAAAACAAAACAACAACAAAAAAGCCAAGACAAAAACAACAAACAAACAAACAAAAAGAAATTAAGCCTAATACCAGGGGGCTGGAGAGATGATGGCTCAGCAGTCAGTAGTTAAGAACACTTGCTGTTCTTCCAGAGGACCCAGGTTCAATTCCCAGCACCCACATAGTGGCTAACAATCATCCTTAACTCCGGTTCCAGGGAATCTGACTCCCTCTTCTGTCCTCCACGGGCATTGCATGACATGGGTACATTTACATACATGCAGCCAATACACTCATACACATAAAATAATAAATAAAAAAATTTAATTAAAAAAAGACAGTATCAGGCACAGTAGTTGATACTTGTAATCCTATCACTTGGGAGGCAGAGGCCAGAAGTTTGAGGCCAGTCTTTGCTACACAGTAAAATCCAGGCCAGCCTGAGCCATTGAGAGAGATTCTATCTCAGCCTGCTTCCCAAAAGGAAGATAAGATTCATAAAATATCATTAACTAATCTACAGACCTACTTACATTAAATTATTCCTTTAGTAATTTTTTTCTGGATCCAGGGGCATAGATAACATTTAATTATCATGTCTTTCTGGCTCTCCCAGTTTGAAATATTTTCTTACTGTTTTGTCTTTCATGACCTTTACATTTTTTTTAAAAAGTATTTATTATTTTTATTTTGTTTGTATTGAGTGTATTGCTTGCATGGAAGTAGGTGCACCTGTGTCATGCAATGCACGAGGAGGTCAGAAGTAGGCATCAGATCCCCTGGAATTAGAATTAAAGACGACTGTGAGCTGCCATCTAGGTGCTGGGACCCGAACCCATGTCTACTGCTAGAGCAGCGCAGTAGGTGCTCTTAATCACTAAGACATCGCTCCAGCCCCTGACCCCATTTTTTTTTTTTTTTTTTGAGACAGGGTCTCCCTGTAGCCCCAGCAGGCCTGGAACTCACTATATAAACCAGGCTAACTTTGGCCTTAAAGAGGTTCACCTGCCTTTGCCTTCCCAATGCTGGGATTAAAAGTGAGTGCCACCATGCCCACCGACCTTGACACTTTTAAAGACATTGGTCAGTTTTCTTGTAGCTTGCCTCTCATTTTTAATTTGTCTAGTGTTTCCTCATGATTAAATTCAGCTTTGTGGGGGCTAGAAAGATTGCTCAGTACTTAAGAGCACATGCTGCTCTTGCAGAAGACCAGAGTTCAGTGCCCAGCACCCACATCAGACAGCTCTCAGCCACCTGTGACTCCAGTTTCAGAAGATCTGACTCCCTCGTTTGGCCTCTGAGGGCATACACATGCATACACTCAGACACACATAATATAAATCTTTTTTTTTTTTTTTTTGT